GTGAATGTTTTTCCAAGTGATATGAGGATCTAGTCTTTTACACTGATATTTATCACTGCGTTACTGGAACTGCAAATTGTAGAACTGTCTCCAGGATGGGGAAGGAAGACATGTCTGGGTACAAGCTGGGTCTGGGGCTTTCCTCTAGGACTATGAATAACTAGATAAATCTTTTACCTCAGCCTCTACACTCCAGTATAAACCGCTGGGGTGATAACAGAAGAACCATTTTTATCTTGAGATCAGTAGTTTCACAGGCAGGGCTCTAGCTTGAAGCTGGTTTGCAGTTTGACTCCAGTTAAATATATCAAGATGACATATAGTACACTCTTACCCTGGAAACTTTTCCCCATCGATAGTTATAAATATACCACACTATTGTGCTTGGCATGCTGTATGCTAATAGAGGTGAGGGCTCTGAAACTCATTAGGAAAGGGAGCGGGCTGCAGAGTGGAGTGAGGACAGCATGAAGCTAAGGTTGATAACCATGGCCTTGTCCAGAATAGGCCATGGGAGTTTTCTTATCTCACTTTGGCAGGAGGTGCTGTTAGCTTCCTGTGCGAAATCAGGAGCATATGCTGCTTTCCTCTTGTTGTTTGGCTTCCTCCGCTACACAAGACGGTTCCCAGCACTGTGATTATCTTTGCATCTTCAAACATGGCACACTCTGCTTCCTCAAGAGCTTGATGTATTCTTAAGAATCAGGCTGGCTCCCCTCCCCCAAACGACTTCTCAAGGGCTGCTGTGTGTGCCAGCACCACAAAGCAGAGTCCGTTTTTAAAGCTGGACTTCTGGTTGCATAAAAATCCCAGCCCTTTCAAAGAAGTGTAAATTCTTAAAGCGAAAAGCAGTGAGTAAGTCTGCCGATGGTCTCGAGTCAGCCCTTTAGAGAGCAAGGAGCTTCTCCGACCCCGCATGCAGCCTCGCAGCGTGCGCTCTGAGCTTCCTGCGGCTCTGCAGTATCGGCTTTGCAGTTCTGACCCCTCCTCCCCCCTTTTCAAAAGTGCTTCTTTCAAAATCCACAGGAGAATTAATGGCTTCTGTTTTTCCAAATGAATAGCCTATTTCTCAAGCTCTTGACACAAAAGACTCAAGGGTGCCTCCGTATGCGTGCGTGCCTCTGCGCATGTGTGTGTGTGTGTGTGTGCGCGCGTGCACGCAGACAAACGCACGTGCAAGCACGCACACAGGCACATGGAAAAAACTGCTTAGAGGATGAGAAACCTGCGTTTGATATCTCTGTGCATCTCTCCCTGTCTGCAAAATAATGGTGAAAAGACGTTCATTATTTCACCTTTTTAGGCTGTAAGCTCTTTGGGGAAGGAAGAGGTTATATGTGTGTCTGTACAAGTGCTGAGGGTGGCATGATTCTGATTCTTACAGCCAGAAAGAGAAGGATCCTTAAATCATGATCACTCTAATTCTCCTAGCACTAGAATTAGTCAATGGCAGAATTAGTGGTAGATTACACTGATCTGAGCTTGCATAATATGTATAAATATATATATATGTGCACACACACACACAGAGTATTTATTATATAGGACCTCTACATGTCTATAGTAGGAACCACAAAGTAGGACCATGAAAGGATTTGCAGAAAAGCAGGTGTAAGGACTGCTTAGAAATGTACTGGCAGAATCTTAGCTTGTTTATCAACCTCTGTGCACGCTCTGTGCTTGTTCACTAACCTGGCAGTAACCCTGCTGTACACGTTCCTGAATACACAAAACAACGAGGCTCATCCCAACAACAAAATATTTCAGGAATTCGTGAACGCCAGAGGTATCTGGAGCAAGATTCAGACGCTCAAAATTCGGTGGGATTTCCCTGCAAGCACAAATACAGAGAGTGCTTGTTACACATAGGAGACCCTTGGTATTTTAGTGAGTGAATAATTTGAAGGAACTTGTAAATTCTTTATAAGCCATAAAAACATGTAGCTGATGTTATCTGAGGACACATACAATGAAACTTCAACTGAACTAATTAGAAGATGATTGTGTATTTTAGTCCCAGCCAGAGCAAATTTTTATACTTTCATTCTTTTCTACTTCTTTCCAAGCATCTGTGCTTAACACAAACATTTGGTTTGATGACTGCATCTAAGTTTAGGAGATTTTTTCTTTTTCTATTACAAAATGCCTGTTGTTAAGAGCTGAAGTCAGATTAGGAGACATTTAATTACTCCCATTTGACCCTTGCCCATCTCTAACCAATGTGTCTGGCGTAAGCAACGGCCTCCTGGCACTGCTGAAAGCAGCAAGAGGCAGGATGACTAAGTACTCCTCTAACTAACCAGCTCAGGAGACTGAAGATGGCTCTTGCTCTGTTCTTAAGCTAAGTTTGTGTATTTGAGGTTAAGGTGAGGAGAGAAAGTGTCTTGTTATATATCCAAGGGATGAGTCTGAGTCTTGTTCTAAGCTTTCCCTGGCAGCCGTGCTTCAACTGATCTGTAAGTGCTTGCTGATCAAGCAGACTGTTGGAGCTGAAGAGGCACAGTACGGTGGTAGTTACATCTCCCACTGTGTACCGCCAGCTATAGAAGCTGTTCGATAATGTATTCTCAGCTTGACTTTGATTCCTTTTTTTTTAAATTAAAACCATGGGCAACAGCTATTAAGTAAGTGTATTCGATTTTCTACTATAATGGCATTAGCATTGTAATTGGCAGTTTGAAGATAATATGGTATGTGCAGTTAGCAGAGTTCACATATGTGCCTCCAGGGCTAATATTTCATCTTGTATTTTACATGTGTTTTCATTGTTATTGTGCTGTTATTGTAATTATGATGATAGTTTGTGTTATGGTATTAACAAGTAATCAGCACCCCATTGTATTAGGCATTAACAAGCACATAACACTGTCCTCACCCCTAAGACATTGCAACTCCTTTTCAAGGACCTACAAGGAAGAATATAATAATAAGTAAACCTAAGGGTCACAGAGCTGAAAGAAATGAGATTGGAGATGGAGAAGTGATTTCTGAATATGCATTATACCTTCTCCCAGTCCTTTTCCAGAACGTGTTTCTCAGTAAGGACGTTAATTGCACAGAGGACAAATTTTCAACATTGTAACAAAGAAACATGAATATATTCTGTAAGGAAAAATAAAATTTTCACCTATCTGAAAGGATGAAAATAAAAAAATGACTCGTTAGTATAAATGAAACGAGATTCTGGAGCCTCTATCTTTCTATACAGAGATTGCTGCAATATCCAGTCACAAGGATGCGTCTTTGGTACTGCCTATTTGTATGCCTCTGATACATCATGAACTAAGTTCTGAAATCTGCTATGGCAGGGAAAAGTCACTGGCCCACCTATATTGACATTTCTCCTGAGCTCTTACAAGACAAGACTTTTTAAAAGCATTAAATGTGCAAAATAAATGGGATCTACCTCTCTAAATAATTTTTAATCTTTTTTTCCCCCCCATCTGAATAGATCAGCTGTCTTCATACAGCTGTCTTTCACCACTCTGACCACAACTGTTTCTTCAAAACTGGCTTTAAAACCAGGGTCTGCAATCTGTGAAATAAATGATCGTGTGGTTAGGGCTTTCTTGCCATGCTGTTGCTCCCTGTCCTCTCTCTGTGCATGAATGACCACGGCCTGCTCCTGTTGTTTGGCTTGTTTAGCTCACTGAGTCTCTCAATACACATTAAGAAATTTAGGCGGACGATTATATATCTATGCTTGTGATTACAGTCCAAGTAAGTTTACATACTGTCATTTCTTTAAGCTGTAATATCAGCTAACACACTGGTCAGTTTGACACAACGCTATACAACTAAAAGCAATCACATAAAGCTAGCATATAACGGATACTATAAACAATTCAGAGTTTAAGCAAACTGCACAGTTAGCTGAAGGGAAATGAACCTCATTCTTTGGTCATGATTGCAAGTTACCCAGTCACCAGGCTGTAAAGGTCACTTCTGCAAACAACCCATGTATGTATGTCGGAACAACTTGATTATGGATGCTACAATTGTTATCTTTAAAATCCATGGTAGATCAAAGGAACATACTGTATTTGAAAGAGCTTGACCCTGGTGAAGGGTTAAGTTCTACTATTCAAGCTGGAATTAAAAAAGCAATAACTAGATTTTGGATAAAAAACAAAACTAGATGTCCTGAAAGAACAATAGGGATGGACAGAATTTAAGAAGCATTCCAACATGCTTATTTCCATGTGTACCAAATTAGGCTTTGGGAAACAAATTAGCTCTACCATGACCACACCTGAATGTTCTGATTATAAGCCAATTTGTTGTGTAAGGCAAAAACTTCTTTTTCCTGAAATTTCCATTCATTAGCAAAGAATCAAATTCTTTGATTTTTTCAGGTAAAATGAACATTTGAATCTCTTTGGCAGTTAAAGATAGTTTTTTTAAATTGTATTTTGATAATTTGAAAGATTCTGCATATTTTTATTATGCATCTTGCAGTCATTGAATCACAGTATTGATAATCAGAAATGAGAACTCACATCATTTTCCATGGTAACAAAAAGAACCTGCATATTATGAAATTTCATCCAATACGTTATGGAATAGAACTTGAAAAAAATTTAAGTTATCTTGAATTTTAAGGCTGAAAATAATGCAAACTCATACTTAAAGCCAAGCCTGAACTCTCATAATGGCTGAAAACTCAGGAGCGTTGGAAATGGGACATTGGTCTCGCATAGCCCTGTATTTAGGTTCAGATTATAAATTCTAACCTGACTCTAAATTTAACCTATGGTGGGTTAAATGTTAACACTGATGCCGGGGAAATTATATTTGGGAGGGATTGCAGAAGTGGATCTGATTTTCAGGCTCCAAACCTCAAGATTTTATGAAACGTAAATATAGTTGCCTAGTGATCACAGCACCTGCAGTTCTCCCGGGTGATCATTGGCTCTAGAAGAATTGTTTAAGCTCATGTATTGAATGTTTCAGTCTATTACCAAATCAATAAAGACTCACCTAATTTTTGTTGTCTTCAGACATGGCTTTTGCTCCTATACCGAAGGATCTTTCATCTTGAAATCTGGCAGCAGCATAGGAAACAGAATCCAGAGCATCACAGCACGAACGGCAGTAATTGAGGGCAAAAATAAGGTATGATTACTGGGAGAAAATAACTCTTTTGTGTGAAAACATCAGTTGAAAAGATACTTCAAGCTGCTATTGAGTGAAAAAGCCAGTATTGTTACATTGTTAACTTTTGAAGACCTGCGTGCATGCAGATAACTTCTGCACATGCAAAGACAGAGTTCGGTATTTATCTACTGAGATGCAGAGGTGAACTTATCTCTGCATGCAGTCATACTACGGTAAGAGAGATGACAGGAGAGTGTATTGGTGGGGTTCAGCACATTTAGTTACTTAGAGCTGGTCTGCAGTATCTTGGGGCAACTCAAGAACACAGGCATAGAGTTCCAGGCCATCTTGTCTTCATTTTGTGCCATTGCACAATTTCCCGCTGTTTTTCTTATGAGAATAAAACAGTTTACTCTCATTAGAGAATTTATTCACAGATGTGGTCCAAGGCTGCTAGATGATCAGATCTTCTTTTACAAGAAAAAAATTTAAAGGAACAAATTAATCTGGATTGTAGATGGAAAGTTTTTAAGAGTGATCTCAGTTAGAGACTGCGTGGTGGGATTCATCCTGTCTGCATTAACTATCTCAATGTTAGGTGTCTAGTCAGAGTCAAACATCAGAACTACCTTTATGGGTCGTGGTGACGTGCAGGTACTGCTGAAAGATGACTGATCCGGTCCTGAGCTGTTGTCTAATAGTGGAGAGAGAGCCAATGAGATTAGCTTGCCAAGAGCTTTGGAAGGTTCTACATCAGTTATAACCTTTAAATCAAGATGTTTTCCTAAAAGATGCCCTTGATCACCTGCACTTTATTGGATTCATCATCAGAATGATTTGATGTGGTTGGGTAGGTAGCCTGTGCTGTGCAAGCGCTCTGGCTGAGATCCACAATGGTTTGCCACTATCACAGGATCTGGTTTCAGTCTAGTTTGATTCGTGGCAGTAATGACTAACATGATTATAGAGCTGAAAGCCTACCTTATTCTAGACCTGTAATTTTCTAGCATCCTGAAAAGCTTCTTGTTCTTCCAAGTGAAGGACAAAGGAGATATTAGGTCTTCTTTTCTTGATGGATGCCTTCAGCTGTCTTTAGATGAAAATTGGTATAAATTGTAATTACTGTCATGTTAGGTCCTTTTCACACACCACAGCATAAACAGGGCTTTGTATGCAGCCAGGAATCAGGCCTGAGAGTGCATTTTCTCCTGCTATTGTATTTTTTAGGCGTTACCACAGCTGTTCATGGCACTGTTCCAGTGCATGGGAATGGGGTGGGTCCCTGTGAGGCATGTGCTCTGCTTAGCTGGCCACCTCTACATGGTCGAAGATCAAGGCGAAGATGGGAGCAAACAGCTTCCTAAGGGAAACTGTCATAGGAAAGCACAGGGAAAATGAGATATAGAGAGGGATTTGAAGGAGAAAAGGAAAATTATTTGAGGTAAAGGAAGACAGGTGGTATTCCAAGGAGGAATGATGAACATAAGGCAACGAGAACCAGTTGTTTTCCAGAAGGCATCTAGCCATGCTATGAATGAAGTCCTACCTGCCCACAGGATGCAGAAGGAGCCATCTAATAACCAGACCTCATTCTCCTTGTGTGCCATGCGTTTTGGAGACAGCAGAAGAGGAGTGGCTGAAATGTCAGAACAAATTCCAGGCAACAGTGAACAAGTTCCTCCTTGGAGGAAGATGCTAACAATGGGTCCTTGCTGCAGGACTGCAGATTTTGTTCGAACACTGTGGCAAGCAACTGTTTTTTAAAAAGTACTCAAAAATGAATCAAGGGATGGTCCCTGCATAGGTAACATAGAAAGTTTTGCAATGAAACTCAGTGGTTCTCCTTGGTATTCCTTGTCTTCATGCTATTTAGCTCATCGCAGAAAGGTCTGTCCTACTTTATCCGTACTAGTCTTTACGGGGAAGAGGGGGTTAGTGAAATAGTCTTTTTGCCCATCTTTTTCATGTTTTTTGGTGAAATGCTGTTAGGAAAAATGTGGTGTGCAGACAGAGCCTTCTGATCGACTTCTGATTCACATGTCATCCAGTTCAGACAAAATTCTTCCTCATCAGCTGGGATATTGTAAGAACGTCAATAGCAGTGAGCTCACTGAATGCAGCATGTCATCACAACTGTGTGGCTCTGATGAACTGCTACTGTGAGCAGTTCTGCTACTGCAAACAGCTATCAGCAGCTCTCTGAGGCCCTTCCACATCAATGGAGTCCTCCTATCAAAACAGAGTGTTTACCCCATTTCCACATCCAAGCATAGCAAGCATGGTAAAAAAGAGTCTTAAAGCTCAGTGGAAACAGCAAAGTAGTAGAAGACAAAGCAGTAGGAAATCGATGAAGACGCTCAGTGCTGCACAATTAGGTTAGAATAAAAGGGGAAATGGAGGTGACCAGAGGATGAGATTATTGTAATCAAGAGAAGAAATGAACAAGGAATAGTCAAAAGGTTTCCTTTTAGAAACCAGGGTAGCCATTTTCACCTTACTTAAAGATATAGTGTCAGTTTCACTCATTTCCAGAATGTGCAACGTCTGAGTCCCTCAGGTCTGGCCTTTTGCCGTGGTAGGTAGATGTTATTTGTTTGTCTGTGATTACAGAGGTAGCCACAAGTATATTTTTTAAATTATAGAAACCTCAGACCCTGTGTCTGTATGGTTAAATTAATGCAGGAAGCCTGTGCTACACTATTCTTTAGTGACAGAGAGAAACCGTGACGACGACAGTGTATTAGTAACATTTCCGTTGAAACCTCTCTAAACGGACATTGAGAAACCTGAGTGGTATAATGGAAGAAATTTGTGACATGAGCCATAATACTTAATCATGAGACAACTCTTTAAGTGATTTGATTCCCACACCCAAAGTTTCATTCTAATTTTGTTAGACGTTTTCAGTGACTTCCTACAACGTTACACTATTCTTAAGTTTATCACGTAAACTGATCACAGAAACTCTTGTCATTCAGCTGCTAAAAAACATCACTTCACAGCTTTTCCAGATAAAATCAACTGCTAAATATAACTCATGGCTAATACTGATTATTATTCTTAGAGTGATCAGAGTGATTAAAATGTCAATTTGTGAATGACCTGCAATAAGAAGATATAAAGAGCTGGCGTATTACTTTGTATCACTATAGTATATACGTGTTGTCTCCTGTGTGCATAGACAAACTTTTCTTTATCAGTAGCTGCAAAAGAAGGAGTTAATACTCCTTGTACAGAGATCCCAGGGACAAAGCACTGTAGGGGCTGGACAGAGACCCTGGGGATGGAGAATGCCTGGAAGGGGGCTAGGAAGAGGAGTTCAGGTGAAAGAGACTAGAAGGTAGTGGCTAAGAACAAATGATGGTAAATTCAAGAGAAAGGAGATGGTAGACAGGTAGGCTGAGGGGGTACAAGGAAAAGTCGAAGCAAGTGGGTCAAAAAAGCTTGGTTTGGAGAAATAACACACTAGAACTACGTTCTTCAGAACCTGAAATGGAACATCTGGTCCCTAAGTGCCCCATTCATCTGCTGCTAGAAAATATTGGTATCCCACTGACAGTAGCAGGTATCGCAAAAGCGAGGTCTATGTCATAGTAGGTCCCTCCAGGAACACTGTATAAAGAATATCAATCCATGAAGTTGTGGTTTATCATAATGGCTTTATACACATATTTATTCATCCACAGCTATATCACTACATATATGTATATATATATATGCATATACATTTGACTCTGTTCTCCTGTATGTGTGTATATATAAGTATATGCATATATCTATCTATAGATAGGTAGATATCTATGTAGATATCTATCTATATCTGTATCTACATATATGCCTATGTCTCTATCTATATCTATATAAATATCTGTATAGATAGATATAGATAGATATATAGATGGCCCTATTTGCCATTGCATAAGCACCTTATTGACACAAGTTTGTAATAGCCCCATCCCTTGTGACTGACAAAGCCGCTTGACTTCGGAGAAAATGGAAAGTAATGCCCCTGTTAGAAGATTCTGAAAAACCAAATCTAGACTTGCTCATGTACATCTCTGATTTGACTGACAGTGGTGGGTCAACCTGGCATGTGCTGACTGTGGATGGTATTAAAAACTGTGAACTTATGTAAAAACTTATGTGCAACATAAAGGTGGAATGCAGGGTAGTTAAGGGAGTCAGTGCACCACAGAACTGACAGGTAAGGTGTCACCATGGAGAATAGGATGGGTCTCTCCCTCCTGCACCTTTTATGTCAAGCCCTGAACCTCTAGCTCTGTTCAGTGTCCCATTATTACTAGCTGGAGAAAAGGAAGCATTTGTTGTGTCTGTTCTCAGTCTCTACTGATGCCAGTTTTCTGACCAGTATGTCCATGCTGATTGGCCAGGTGGCACCCAAACCAGAAGAGGTAGCTATTTGTCTCACCCTGCAACAGCGCTCATTTTATTTTTTCTCTTGTACCCAGCAGCTGGTTTTCATGCAACACATAAGATCTTATTAGCTTTGAGAAGTCTGTCAGTCTTAGTTGAAATCAGGCCACAGGTTCAGAAATCACTGATGATGGAGGGAAGGAGAGGGCACTGGCAGACAGACAGTGTGATCACGTAAGTCTAACTTTCTTAGGAAGGCAGGCTAAAGATAGCACTGGGAGTTTAGCTTCCCTCTCTTTCAGCACATTGTAACTTCTCTTGGGGCCCTCCTGAGTGCTACTAGAATTGCTGTCAGCACTTTTAAATAGATCACTTCAGAGGTGCCAGCTGAGCCTAGTGCTTGGTAATATTAAAACCAGCAGAATTTGGCACCTGCCTCTGCTGAGCTGTAACTCCTTCCTGCTCCTAAAAGCAATGACCTCCTTTGGGGCACGAGACAGGCATGAATCAAACAGTACTTTATTCTGTGTAGAGCACTGAGAAAGTACAGGGAGCGCGTATGGTGGTACTTAGCTGTTTGTACCCTGATGTCCTTGTGAGTCAGCTGGATGCACTCAGTCTCATGGCCTGTTCAAGCAGGACAACATGCGATGCAGTGAGAAAATGCAGCTCTGCTTGCTAAACAACAGTCTAAACTGCAATGAAGAAGGTACTGTCCTGTGCTTAATGTCCTGCTACTAGAGATATGTCAGTGAGAGTTTCTTCTCTGGACATAGTGGCAGTTCTGAGGGTGAAGCATGTTGTCCATATGTTTTGCACTGATGCTCCTTGCCAAGATGTGAGGCATGCTGATCATAGAACATTTTTGGCACAATCAGAACAATCCAGTGGTGTGTCGCCAATATTTCAACATGAATCTTCCTAACTAGTCTTTCCCCTTTAGCCTTAGACAAATACAGTGTGCATGACTGCTTGTAAGGCAGTGGGAGAGCATAATATCATTTGCTTCCCAGTTTTTTAACGAATATATTTTCTTAAAAGCATAACTAGGAGGGTATCAACAACATTTGGCAGACTTGCACTAATCTGCTCAATGCTGAAAGGGCAATATTTGTCTTTTAAATATATGGGCTGTTCAGAGGAATTGGCACAGCAGTCCCTGAATGGAGCATGTTTATGCATGTGTCTGTAGAGGCCTTCTAGGGGAAAGGAAAGAGTCATGGTACCAGCCATTTTGTGAAATCTTCACTTGTATGGCTGCCATCAGCTGGAGCAGTCACAATCCTTTATTTAAACTATTATGGGAAGAGTGAGTTTCAAGGAGACACCTCAGGGAAAGATCAGTCCATCCTGCTTCCAGAGCACAAAGACTGATTGTTGGCAGTTGCTTTGCCTTCTCTTTTCCCCACTCTTTTCCTCATCAGTTTCCATTATGGACAACTCTGCAATTTCCTCTTCCATATCATGGTCTGTTTTACACCTCATTTTTTGCTGGCAGAAGCAGCAGCAATACATGATTCACTTCCCTAACCCCCCACCTCTGAAATAAACCTTTAGCACAGTGCTTCAGGTGAGGTGAGTATAGAAAGGAGGAAGAAAGGATCAGAGCTTTCGTGGTAAATGAGGTTTGTAGATGAATGAGTACATTCAAGATGCCAAGCATGCCTGGAAGGATTTGTTATATTCTATCTCCTTATGGTAACTTGATTCAGACTTTCTGTGTATAATGTGGTTGCCAGTCCAGGGCCTAAAACATCCTTATGATCCATTGACAAGATGGACGATGCAAACCTGCAAGGGCTGTTTTTTCTCTTCCTCCTTTTGTAGCAATAACTGTATAGAGGCACCACACAGCACACACTGATCTTGAATAACCATAATTGCTCAATAAACAAAAATATGCCAGGCTTAGCATACATGCTGCTTCTCTGGTGGGTTTTGGCTGGCATCCACAATGCAGAGTACAGTCTGCACCACTGGAGGGCTCACAAACTACTTAAAGAGATGTTATCTTATCCTTATGGCTAATTTATAAGCTAAAAGATGTGTGCATAGACATGGTGTTGCTAAAAGATTCTGTTCCGTTGCAAAGCTAGTCTTCCTTATTCCTAGATGCTATGGTTATCTCTGTATTAGTCAAGTAAATGTACTGATGACTGCTCCTTGGCACTAAGGACAGCATGTGTAGAATGGCCAGCGTTCATAACATTAATCTCTTTCATCCTCCAGAAGAGAGTGGTTGCTTGAAGGCTGCCTGTTGGGAGTGTTGGCTGGTCTGTGCTAGAGGAGTATTTGGGAGGATGCAAGTCGGTCCAAACCAAAACAGTACTGGGGACATGTTAACAATTTAACAGTATAAATCACTGAGTTTTGGTGCCCAGGAATGTTTCCTAGTGTCACGTAATATATGAGGATAGACATAACTTATAAGCACTCAGATCAGTAACTACATTCATACTGCTTAGGTGCAAGCGTATATGCAGACCTCAGTCTAATAAAAGTAATAATCACATCACAGTGGGCCAGAGCAGTAAAACGCAGACATTATGGAAAATTTTCCATTAAAAGCTAATACCTGACAGTATCAGAACAATGCACTCTTTGAGACTACCCCCCAAAAATCCTAATCATTATTGTGGGAGGAATGTTTGCTGTGTACTGCTCAGGCTCAGAAACACTCTGGTTCATAGTGTAGTAGGATAAAGATCAGGCACCCTGGAGTTAGAAAGTGAGATCCTCATTTTCCTTTACTGTGCATTTTGTGTCATTATTTCTATCTTTGTAAAGTTGTTATGAGGTCATATGAAGAGGCACAAGAAAGCCTAATTTTGTGGTGGAAAGTCTGAACTGGCAGAAGCAGTGTTTAACCACCCTCATTAGCCCTCTGGCAAATGTTACAGGACTTCCTTCTATTCCAACTAATGTTGGCAAAAAGGGCTGCAGGAATCCTTCTCTGATCCCTGTGTCCACACTTTATGAAATAATGTTTAAAAACTGGATGGCATTCAAAGAGAATGACAAAATATATACAGGGCTGGACCCATGCTTTATAATTAGGAATTTATAGAGGTCAGTCTACTGAATTTAGCAAAACAGGATAACTTTTTTCAAGGGCTGTAATTATCTATCTGGTATTATTGAGCCTCTTTCATCTCATAGAAAAGCTAAAAAGGTAAGTTAGAAAAATTCTAATTGAAAATGAGATGTAGCTTGTTAGCAGACAGATAATTGACCATTGAGGCAGCTTAACAGGGTAGGCATGCCATTAGCATGACTTTTAGTCTTGAATTTGCCACAAGGCAGCTTTCTAAAACAAACAATCTAGCCAAAACTCCACTATGTTTGCTTGAGTAGCAGGAAAAGTACTAGTCTCTCTCTGTTAAAGAATATTTTTGGATACCAGGAGGTCTATATTATATAGGGGTTACAGCAAGGGGTTTGGGGAAGGCCATAAAGTCTCCGAATAGGAGACATAGAAGCAGTGTGAATGCTGAGCCAGTGTTTATAAAGAAATTCAGATAACTGGTCTTTATTTAGCATGTACTCACCCTCCTGAGCTTGTGTCTGGACTCCAACAATCAAACAGACTTAAAGGAAGAATGTGTTAATTGCAGAAAAATTATTTTGAAAGTTTTTAGAAAAAAAAATCTCAAATAATTCAAAAAACGAAATGTCATGGCCACACAATTTCCTTTCATCACTATCACAGTTCTGGCTGTAACTCCCACCAGTGCGTGTTTTGCAGAAGAACTAAGGCAGAGACACAAATATAGAAAACCAAGACACTGTGGCATCCAACAGCACGTCCCACTGCTGAGACCCAGGTGCATGCCCCATGTCTCAGTTGCGCATTAATGTGGTGCCAGAGTACAACGTAAAAAAACCCAAGAGATTATTGTTTAATGATAGAAATATTGAATCAAAGAAGAGGAGATAATCCCCCCTAAAATAAAGAGCAAATGTCTGTTTTGCCCCTACGCTTTTTTGCCTGACAGTTATAAGAGAATGAAAGAGAAATCAGATGTGTTTAGTGCCAAATGCAGCTACTCTTTTCCTAGAGTTGTCCAAGTGTCTGAGTTGATCCTCACCTAGTCCCTTTGCTGACTGGCTGCCCTGCAGGCTGGTCGTCCCCTAGGGTGAACCATGTTCTGTAACTTATCATTACATCAGCAAGAGATAAATCAACCTGAAAGACACATACAAAGATTTTTGGTTGTGGTGGCTCTGATAATATGATGGTCTCCAGAGGAGCTTGTTTCTTTTTATTCTTCCATCCTTTCCAAAAATTTATATGGTGACATCTCCTTTACTTAGCCTCAGTGGTGCTTGTCACCCAATGAATGGAGAGACTGAATCATAGGAGTGAGTTAGTAAAAAGAGAAGGGAAGCTTTTAAACAAGTTCCTAATCCACTGAGAGCTAAACCTCTTCTTTCTTTCGCAGACTGCTAGCACTCTGGTTGTAGCTGAAGCCAAATCTTCTGGAATCTACAGCTGTATAGCAGCCAATAAAGTGGGGAAAGCCGAAAGAAACGTGAGCTTTATTGTAACAGGTAAGATCTAGTACCTACTAGAGATAAACGTGTTCCCTGGTCCTAGAATTGTAATTATCAGGCTATCATGTTTTTTTCACATCCTAAACCATGAGAATTATTGTAATACGAGCACTTGTAAACTCATACCATGCTTTTCAGTGTTTCTGGAAGGGTTTTTCACAGCAGGCGGTCTGGATTTCTAAGAAGGGAATCAAATCTGACGAATGACTCCTTGCATCAAGTATCCCAGCATGTCACAAATCACTCATAAATATAGTGACGTGTAATTTGACCTTTTATATCATGTAACCTCTGCAATCATCCTGTACGTGAAGGGGTACTGTATTCTGACCAGTAAGTCAGTATCGTCTGTGACATGATCGGTCTCTATAGGCTGCTTCTGGAAGGTCTCACAAACCAGCAGGCCTCACGAAGGTGCGCTCAGAGCAGTGAACGGTGTCTGCAGGCAGTGTGGTGCTAGGAAAAGGCCTGTGGTGGCACTTGGCAGCCTCTCACAGCTCTCAGGCACAACGGCAATTTATGGGCAGAAAAATTTATGGGGCAAACTACAGAATTTTATTCCCTCTTCTGAAGAAGACCTTGGATGCAGCTTGGGCCATAACATTGAGAAGACTCATATGTGTTAGCTGTGTATATGAATATGTTTCCATCAGTGGGTGTTTATAAGTGTTTGCAGGTTCAGAAACAGATGAATAAATGGTTTGACTTCAGGAACTGCTGAAAAAAAAACTGATGGGTTTTGTAAGAATGACTACTGCATGATGTAGCAGCATAATGTCTACAGGTGCTATTACAAAGGATCTGTTTTCTGGTGTAAGATTTCATTCTGATTTTGTTTACAAAGTGATAGTTCATGGAGCACTTAGGCTAATGATAACTTTTAGGATAGGTCATTAATGTAATCATTCCTAAATATGAGAGAAGACAAAAGGTTACAACATCTCGATGTTTTAAGGTCAAAGTCATAATCCTGAAACTGAAAGGGAAAAATAGGTTTAATGTTTTCCTTTTATTTTTTGCTGTTTCTGTAACCTGTTTTTGTTATCAATCTCTTACTTATCATTCTGATGACTGATATTAATGAAACTCATTCTGTTACTGTACTGATAAATATCAAGAGAGAGTAGACACACAGTTACTAGAATTGGTTTAAAAAAAAAACTAGGAAAAAAACCTCCCTGTAAGTTGTCCTCTTCTCTTAATTTTATGGACCAAAACTTATGAATGTTCTGATGCATCCACATTTAGAAAGTGGCAATTATCTATAAATATAGAAATCTAGTAATAAGTATGAGAGCTACTTATTGAAATATAAACTGGTAAGTGACACATAGGCAGGCTGTTTGTTAAAATATGAAAACAAGAAGAGTCTCTTCGTGTGCTATTAAAGGATGTGACAAGGACATTTGCCAGCTTGAACATGATCGCTGCCCCAGTTCTAGAATCACAGTTTTACCTTGATCCTTACCCTTAAATTGTGTCTGTTTGGACAGAAAGCTAAGCAATGACACATAGTTTTCCATAAATTAATGTTTTAATGGAGCTATAGTCTCATCTTTATGTGGGGACTTCATATGCAACTTTGAGCAGTCACTGAAAGCCACTCACTGAGATGACTGATTTTTTAATATGCAAGATTCAGAATTTGATGTTCTCTAGCTCTTACTCCTCAGTCTTCATGTAAGACTCTGAGACCAAAGGAAGCTGAATCTTGAAGGGTCCAATTTGCAATACCCAAATCTTCCTTTCAAAGTTTCTGATGGTGTTTCAGATAATTTAGTGCTGTGACATGAAGGTGTTAGTTTCCCTTCTTAGATCTCACATTCTTAGATCTTAAGCAGGGGTAGAAGGAAATCCTTCTCCTTGATACCAAAGCTTGCATGTAAACATGCAGAATATTATGACTTTCCTTTGAAGACTCTTGTATTGGCTAGCGTTCAGAAAGAGGAGTGGTTGCTTTATTATGTCTTGGAAATTCTTAATGTCTTGACTGGTGGCAACCTTTCTATATAGGGTGGTGATGTTGAAATGCGTTTGTCCTTTGAGTTCCTGGAGCTAAGTACTTCAATTGTGTGACATGGAAAGTCCTGCTCATCCGCTGATGTTCAGTTGCACTGACTGAACACAGCTTGTTTAAACAATACTGCTGTTTTGTTCTTAAAAAAATCAAGTTAGGTTCATTCTTCTGTTTTGTGCAGAGAGTGCATCAGTTGGGCTTGAATGATGTAGTCATAATTCTCCTCTGTTAGGCTGAGACCAAACTGCTGAGGTTTGGTAGCAGGCTGGGTTTCACGTCAGCTGAGAAACAAATGCATCATTCCTCCAACCTTTGCTGAAAAACACACTAAGAGAATAAAAAATGACAGCCAAAATGCTGAGGGATGTGGACAAGCGGGCAGGTCACTGAGGATTTTCTTCTAATGAATCCAAAACTAATACTTCAGATCTCGGGTGACAGCCTGTGTTTTCTCTGGTTTATATGGTGTGGGGGCTACTGGAGCCACGTGAAGTCAGCCTGAACCACACACAACTGAGTGTAAGAGAAGAAAGTATCTAAGTAGGAGAAGGGGATCCCTTGTAGGAAGAGAAGCTGCTGCTATCCATAGGAGGGGATGAGCCAGAAAGGACCCTGAAGAGCAGGCAGAGATAAAGCCTAACCTGACCAGGAAAAAGCATTTCCTTGGAGGCAATCTCATTGAGACCTTGTCTTAAGGATAAAAATAAGCATGTACTGCAGTGATGTTGCGGTGCTGATGTGAGGAGTCTCTTTTCTAGGCCATGATTCTTCCCAGCTGTGGCAGAAACCTTTGGGAAGGTGGTGGGAAGGGCAGTGCTCATCCTAGCAATCCCAGTTTTGCAGTGACATGTTCCCTCCCTAGAGGGAAAGACAGCAAGGAAATAAATGCAAGGAAATGTATCAGAGAGGTCCCCTGAAGAGCAAGCCTTTACTTAAGTTATTGAAGATCTCTTATTATTTCTGGGCATGAAGTGCAATTTGCATGCATGTTTCTGGGAGGTTTCAGGGTAGTATAATTTTACACTCTGTGCTTGAGGCTGGTGGACATGAAGTCCATGGGCCCTGGAACAGCTTTCCTCTCCTGTTGTCTCTGCCAAGTAAAGGGTGTTTTGGGGGTATTGTCCTACTGATTTAATTCTAAAAGCAAATCTTTGTTTACGGCACAAATGTAGCTGTGCGTCTTATACCAAAACAACATAGAAAGGTGATTTCTGAAAGCTCTCCTACTCACTGATAATTTAACAGCCTCTGTAACAATACTTGTATGCCAAATTTCACTGTGGTAGCCCCTTTTGCTCCAGGCTGCCCCTTTCC